CCCTGCGTAGAATCGTTTTTTTCATATAGACTTATGTAACTCTAAATGGCGACCGGAGCCGATAGTCGTCGGGATCGAGGTCCCTTGAGTTTGAAGACAAGACCCCTATACTTGTGATACTTCAACTAACAAGGTTAAAATTACTTGTTTGGTCATCAACAAGATGACGGTTACGTCATTTGACTTGACGTAGGGCTCTACATATAATTGATATGCTATGCCACCATTTCGAGACTCATTTATCAATGGTAATTTAGGTTGATGCTCAAAGAGATGTTTGTGTTTGGTGTTTGAACTTTTACTCGATGAGGCCATTTTTGTTTTCTAGTGAAGAAAATACAAATCACATATTAATAAACAAATAAACAAATAAAGAATTATAATAATATGTTTAATATGTTTATGGTATACCCTCTACACAGATGGAGATGCACAAATTATGTCAAAATTTAACTCTGGTGTTGTTAGCAGTCTTGTAAACCAAGCCTAACCTAACCTAACCTAACCAATCTTGTCACTCGCTTCCTCATGTAGCGATTTCCTTATTTTGTTCTAATTCAATTATTTTATTTCTATAAATTTCAATAAGGTTTTATCTGTTGTGCCAAATCTTAGTTATATTTAGTAAATCTTCAAAAGTTATTGTAATATTAGTATTGACGAAGTCAAGCACACACATCTGATAAGTTGTTACTTCAAGTTTGAGCTCTCGATATACCCGATTAATGTGGTTTATTGGTAATTCATTATCAAATGGTATATCCCAACTAGGCTTGCCAAAAAAATGTGCTTCCAATTCAACTGTACCAAACTGAGGTAATAGCATTAATTTCTTTTTGGCGTTATCCTGCCTATTTTCATTGTACAGTGTTTTGAATTCATTAAAAGCACACAATCCAAATGATGGTATTTCATGTTTAAGTTCTCGATCGATTGGCCAATTAACTGAAGTTATTACACGCACATCAATGTCAAAATCAAAAGATTTTGAAATGCCAAAAATACACTTGTTTATAAAAACCCTGTCTTCGTAGTTTCTCATAACACTTTTGGTCAAATCAAACTCATCCCGTAGCATACCATTTAATTTGGAAATGTATAAAGTGCCATAGCCATTGTCATATGTACTATTAAGTTTGGTGATCAATCATAAGTAGTTTTATATATTTAAAAATATTAAATCACAAAAAAATCCCCTTCTTAATTTACTTGTAAAAATGGCTAAGTAAAAAAAATATAAGATCTTTAAGCACTATAAAGATGTGATATCATAAATAAATGCTAAGTATATTGAATTTAAGTAAACTTATTTTATTCCAAAAATGTATTTACTTGTCAAGGAATTGTTGCTTAAAAGAAACAAAGTGTGATATGAACAAAATAATTAAATGACAAAGGACTATTAAAATAAAATATAACAATTATTATTATTTTAAAAATATTATTATTAATATTTATACACTAGGTATTTTAAATAATTCCTCGCCAAGTAAAAAATTATTGAAACAAAATAAGTTTACTTAAATTCAATATACTTAGCATTTATTCATGGTACCACATCTTTATAGTGCTATAAGGTCTTATATATGTTCATACTTAATTATTTATTTTATATACCTTCTATATTATACTGTATATTAGAGTACAGCCCGGTCCTATAAAAATGTTATCAGCTCCGAACAAATTTTTAAAACAATTTGTTGAACTATATCAGACCAATTTCAAAAATATATTTTTCAACCTAGACCAATTTTGAATCATGCTTACAAACTTTTTATAACCCCAAACCATCATAAAAATTATATTTTATTTATATTAATATATACTTTTTTTTTAAACCAACACGGCATCATCAAGCAGTTTTCAGTTATTTATTAGACTATCTTAACATAAATTATATGACTGTTGGAAAATTAGTACGGTTAATTAACTTATAAACTTGTATAGAAAAAACTTAAATTTTAAATACATTACGAAATTATATAATATGGTTTCATATTAACTAAAAACTACTGATAGCATATAAGCTAACCTCACTTAACCTGTATACGATGGTGATGCACTTAACGTTAATTAACTTCCTCCAGTAAACACATAAATATAAATTAATTCAGAGTTACAAACGATTTTTATTACGTAGGTACTAGGTAAGCTACTACACTGTATGTAAATTTAATATTTTAATAAATTGTATTTGTAAATAAAAATAAAAATCAATATTACATTCCATCAAATACTCCTGAAAATAATTCGTGCCAGCTGGACGTACGTTTGGCCAGCCCCCCCCCCCCTAATGGAAAATCTATAAATGAATTGCACGGATATTTAGCACGTAATTCGCACAATACGTACAATTCGCACACCTAGTTTTGAAATTCGCACGACCCTCCTTCCCCCTCGAAAATCAAAATCCATGGGGGGCGTTTCGCCAGAAATTCCTCAATTTTTTTCTGAAAATATTTAGCACGCAAATCACATTATTTTTTTAAAACTATAATTTGAACTTTGCCGGCTACTTAGTACTTACCATTTGTTTTCAAATTATTATTTTTTTTTTTACAATTTAAATTTTTAAATTTTTTTGCAGGTTTCTAACAGATTTGTTGTAGTTGATAGTTTTTTAAATATTAAGGTATTTCAAATTACATTTTAAAAAATATATTACGTTAAAGGTTACTGCAGGGTAGCTAATCCCCAGTCTTCTCGCGTTTTCACTTTTTCATCATTGTAAAATCAATTTATTTCTTCACTCCACTCAGAATCTAAAAATAAAGTATACAAATTATATGATAAAAAGGTGGGAATATTTTTAACAACTAAATATTAACATAGGTCAGGTCAGTGTACAAAACGAGCTTAAATAATAAAGATGACACTAATATTGTTCTATAGAACACTGCCGTCTTCACGAAACTCGGAAAAAATGTAGGTGTATCGTTTGCATGCACGTTAGCGAACACTGTTACACAAGCTTAGTATATTTTATTTTAAAATAAAGAAACGTGATTCTGACCTGAAAACTGCGTATGATCTTTAATTTATAAAATATAAATTATTACCTTTTAAAAAGAACAGCGCCGGGCAGTACATACTACCTATGTGCCATTTTCAATTTATTAAACCGAATAGCACCACTTTATATATCATTTAGAGTAATTCCAACGTATAAGGGTAACATATAGAATCTACTAGCGCATGCCAGCATACCTCAAAATTTAACTTTGAAATCGTAATTTATTTTAGAAGTTGCCATTAGCTAGAGAATAAGAGGATTTTGTCGTCGTAAGATTTAGCGCGTGTCACTCTACACGAGTTATATATTACAATAATGTGTTTATAAAATAATAATAATTACACTCCTATAAAATAAAATAAAAAAATGTCAACTGAACTTCTCGTATACACTATGTAAGTATTAGTAACTAACCTAACCATTTTTAAGGAGATTCGTGCGAATTTCAAAACTAGGCGTGCGAATACGTGCGAATACGTGCGATTTACGTGCTAAATATCTGTAAAAAAAAAAATTGCGAAAATGTTGATTTAAACTATGGGGGGGCTGGCAAGACGTGTTGCTGTCCCCCCCCCGTGGATTTTGATTTTTGAGGGGGAAGGAGGATCGTGCGAATACGTGCGAATTACGTGCTAAATATCCGTGCAATTCATTTATGGATTTTCCATTGGGGGGGGGGGCTGGCCAAACGTACGTCCTATCTGGCTATTCATGGTATTATAAACATATAAAAATGTATAAGCTACGTATAGGTAACCTACCTATATATTTTATAATGGTTTGTAATAATATTATAAAAAAATATTATAATATCTATTTAAAATAATTTTACTTTATTTTATACGTATCTGTATTATAAAATATTCAAATTTCATCAAGTGACCACTGTACATAATTGATAATATATATGTTTACAAAAAAAACTACATAATGATTAATCGCAATAATTATTATAATGACCCGATTTCCGTTCAGAATACGCCTCAAGGTCAGACAGTGGAGAAACTAAATAATTTTTTTGTATAACAAAAGTACAACACTCTTTATTTCAATAATAGTTTTTAATCAATATGAATGTATATAGAAGTTGATTTATATTTTTGAGGACGCGGCTACTTATAATGTCATTAATATATAAATATCTATAATTCATTTCTATTTCATATGATAATAATATTTCATATTAATTACTCTAAATAGACAACTCGCAAAACACATAAACTCATCACTCGTCACAACCGGCACCCGATCCGACACACATACATACTTACATACATATAATATATGTACTTAAACAGCATTCATAGACTCGATCGATTATTTCAAATAATAATTTACATAAAATATTTTCTATATATAATTTATTCAATACCTGAATTCTTAAACATATATTAATTATTATATATTTACCGTAGATACGTGAAAAATAGCACAACGTCGCTGTACAATGATATCCAATATACAATAATTAAACGCAATATAGTACCTGTTCATATATATAATTTACTAATTTTTTCATTAAATACGTATGTAGAATTTATGCTGAAACCTAAAAATATATACATAAATGTGAATAAAATGTACTAATTTTGATAAAATCGCAGCTGTCTGAGTGTAAATACAGAAATTGTATTAATTACATATTTCTTTATGTTTTGTTTAATTTTTTTTTTTTTTTTTAACTGCCTAAGGCATCTTTATTTAAACGACCATAAGTCTTTATAAATATAATACATTGTGGGTGAATACAGTATAATAACAGTAATACATAAGTAGTATTAAACAATAATAGGTTAGGTTAGGTTAGGTTAGTCCTGTTCACGGCTTCGGAAGTGGACTTGGCGGTCGAGAGGGCGGGCAGCAAGAACAAAGCCCCAGGCCCAGACGGACTCACTGGCAAGATACTCCAAGCGGTGCACAAGGCGCACCCAAACACCCTACCGGACCTATACAACAGCTGCCTCTGCAGTGGGACCTTCCCTAAGGAATGGAAGACCGCCACGGTGGTGCTGCTGAAGAAAGGGAACAAGCCGGACAGTGTACCCTCTTCCTACAGACCTCTCTGCCTGTTGAACAAGATCCTCGAGTTCCTGCTAGCGCGAAGACTCGAGGACCACATGTCGGACAGCGGTGGGCTCTCGGACAACCAGTTTGGCTTCAGGAAAAAGAAGTCCACGGACGACGCGGTACGTGAGTTACAGGCCAACCTCTTGGAAGGAGTCAACGTGGGTAAGTACTGCCTAGCCGTCAGCATCGACATCCGGAACGCATTCAACTCCATCAAGTGGTCGGACATCATGAACGCCCTGCTGGGGTGGAGCATCCCGCAATACCTGCAGAACATGTTCAGGTCGTACTTCTCCGGAAGAACGGGAACGGTGCACGTGAACTGCGCGGAGGGTGGTACCTTAGATATCGAGATTTCCGGAGGCGTGCCCCAGGGTTCCGTCGTAGGCCCCCTCCTATGGAACGCTACGTTTGATGCCGTCTTGAGAACCGAGCTGCCCAGCGGAGCGAAGCTGCTGGGATTCGCGGACGACACGATGTTGGTCACCAGGGCCAAGTCGACCCAGGAGCTGGAAGAAGTGACCAATGAAGCACTGTCCCTGTTGGAGAAGCGTATCACTGACTTTGGCCTTCAGATCGCGGTGGAGAAGACCGAAGCCGTCCTCTTCACGTACAAGTACAAGTACACCCAGCCCGCGATCAGACTGTGCGGCGGCGACATTCAACTCTCGACCGAGATGACCTATCTTGGGATGGTGGTTGACAAGTCGATGCTGTTCAAGGGCCATGTGAAGAGAGCGGCAGCCAGAGCAGCGGCTATCGGGAACCAGTTGGCAAGGATCATGCCGAACATGGGCGGGCCCCGAGAGGACCGACGGCGGCTCCTGTCGTCGGTGGTGCACTCGGTGCTCCTATACGGTGCCCCTAGCTGGGCGCATACGCTGGAGATCGTGCCAGGAAACGTCCGGACCCTGAACAGAGCCCAACGGAGAGTTCTTCTCCGATGTGCCTGCGCGTACCGCACCGTTTCCGAGGCGGCAACTGACGTGATCGCGTCAACGCCGCCTGCAGACCTCTTGGCGAAGGAGAGAGAGACGGTGTTCGACCGGAGACAGGGCCCCGCAGCACCCACGGCAGGCAACGTTCCGAGGACCAACACAATGGAGGCGTGGAAGGAGGGATGGTCGACGGAGGAATCTGACCTAACCTAACCTAGCTGGACCAGACGGTTGATCCCGGACGTCCGTCCCTGGTGCGCCAGGAGCCACGGGCTGACAACATTCCACCTGACGCAATTCCTGTCGGGACACGGATGTTTCGGCCGGTATCTGCACCGTATCCGGAAGCTGGACAACCCGAGGTGTGTGGACTGTCTCGCGCCAGTTGACGACGCAGAGCACGCGATCTTCGTTTGTGATAGGTGGTGGCGTCGGAGAATGGAGCTGAAAGCTACAATCAACGACCCATTCACTCCCGAGACCGTAGTGGGGAAGATGCTGGAGTCACAGTACAACTGGACGGCAGTAGAGCAATTCGTGGAGGAGATGCTGACGAAGAGAGAATCCGAGGAAAGAGAACGGCAACGTCAAGAATAACACCCTTAGTTAAGTTTGCTTTGCTGTGGGCCGAAGGCCACTTTTTGGATGGTGTAGGGCCATCCATTTATTTGTAATTTTTTTATTTAATTATGTATCCCTATGTATGATTTGGTTTTGTTCAATAAACGATGTGGGGGAGCTGACGAAATGCCTCAGGGCGTCTCCGGCCCTCCACGATACCGTACAAAAAAAAAAAAAAAGGTTAGATTAGGTTAGTTAGGTTAGGTTAAGTCCGGTGCCGACCACCAAACCGACAACACGCACCCGCGTATCGCTCCCGAGCAGTTTTTTGTTTTCCGCCGAAAAACCGGACGCATCCGAGTGAAACCAGTGCCCATCGATTCGTCTCGTCTCCGCCGTCACGTGGATACATCGCGCGTCGATATCCAACCATCCGCGTCTGAGAAATCACGAAAACAGTGAGCCGAAATCCGCCGCCCGCCGCCGGAAATTATTTCGACGGAAAAGTTCCTCCGATTCTCGCGCCCGAGGTCTTAAAATCTTTGTCTTGAGCCAACTAAGAGAATAAGACATCGCGCGCGAACGTAAGTTCAAAATCCAGTGCGCTACGGCGACCAAGGCCCCCGTGGCAGGCCGCCCGACCGTACGGCTCCTCGCGAATCGCCGATCACCAACGAACCGATAACCGCACGCACCCGTTCGATACACCAAAAAATCCGCACCGCCCGTGCGCATCTTTTGGTGTACTCAGCGGGCCCGTATCCGGCCACCCGGCAAAAGCCGACGCCGCTTTATGACGCCGCCGCGAAAAATCGCTACCGAATTACGCAGCCGCACAAAGTTCGCCAAATTCGACGCCCGCGAACCCAAACGCAAAATCCGGATCGCGCGTTAAGTGTACGGTGACAGTCCGGTCACAACGCGAGTGCGAATTTCAGTTTTGCTGCAGAAACCAGCCCACTAGACCAACTACTGCTAAGCATAATATCGGCTGACAAAAGCGACCACCCAGCGACGACCAGACGTCTCACGTCCTGGTCCATCAGCTGATCCGGTCCGTCTCGTCGAGCCCGAATTAATAAGACTCCGAACGGGCAAATCCGACCCCAAGGGCCCAGGTGAGTACACTATACTTACACCCCATAAGAATAACACGGCCGCCCGTACTATCACGCGGCTCCGATCCCCGTGATAACGGATTTTGCCACTGCCATCGGGCCGGTCGCAAATCCGCGACATTCGTTCTAACGACAACGCGACGCGAACAACTCGCGACGTGAACGTCACTCGGTCACCGAAAAAATCGAAAATTTGAAAACGCCGGTGTGCGAGAACCAGCGCTCGGAGAGCGCTGCGGAAAACAGCCACGTGGCTGGGGCAGCGGCCCCCACCCCCACGCGAAAGTTTTTCCCTCACCCCGTTTTCAAAAAACTCCCATAACTCAGTCCACAAAGATCTCACGACCTCAGGACTCGGGCACAAGGCCCAGAGGCACCTCCCGGACGAGGTCCCCGCAACAGAAAAAAACCAAAAAGGTTAGGTTAGGTTAGGTTAGGTTTTTTTTTTTTTTTTTTCTCTCCTCTGTCCTTCGCGACCCGTTTTTCCAGGATAGGAAACCATGCCGCCATCCATCCCAGACAGATGGGATATGGAGACCGAACCGACCAAAAATCAAAACAAAAGGAAACTTTCCGGCTCAACAACCCCGAACAGCCACGGCGGAAAAAGGGGACTCAAAATCCCGACAGTACCACCAACAACGGACACTGATGGTGCCCTCTGCGCCGCCACCACGGCGATGCGATACGCCTGCGAATTGGTTGAAGGCCTGGCAGACGAGTACCACACAGAAGAGCACATCGGGCCGTGCCTGGCTAAGGTCGTCAAGGCACTCGAGCAGGTGTGTAAGGCCATGGGTCTCCTCTCCAAGGACCGACCACCAACACCTATCGTCCAACAACTGAAGAAAAAAGACGCCTCCACCACCACAGACACCCCCGACTCACAGACGAAAACCAAAGAACTGGTAACCGCCAAGAACAATCCGACAGCTACTAAGGCCAGGCCTAGACGACGAAAGACTGGCAAGAACAAATCGGGCATCAGGACTCCCAAGGCCAAACCTCCGGCTCAGGGGAATGAAGTCCCGCCAACCGACCAACCCGAACAGGCAGAAAACCGACCGGTCGAACTCGAAGAAGTCCCCTTCACACTGGTCGAGAAGGCAACCAAGAAGCCGCCTGCCCCGAGACCCGATGGCATCCCCAACGAGGTACTCGCCAAAACCGCTCTCCTCAGACCACTCTCTCTGCTCGGGGTCTTCAACAAATGTCTCGCCCACACCACTTTTCCAGAGCGATGGAAAGAGTCGAGACTTGTGCTCCTGCACAAAGGCCCGGGGAAACCGCCACTAGAACCATCTAGCTACAGGCCTCTGTCAATGCTGGACTCCGCTGGCAAGCTACTCAAGCGACTGATACTGACCAGACTAACAAGCATCTTGACACTACTGGCCAACGATCGGCGAATCAACACGGCTTCAGGAGCGGCCGTTCGACGGAGGACGCCATCGCCAGACTTCTGGAGACGGCCCAAGGCGCAGCCCTGGGCGCCGTCCATCACCGAGACCTGTGCGTCGCCGTATCCCTGGACGTGAGCAACGCCTTCAACTCGGCTCCATGGCGCAAGATCGACGCCGCGCTCCGGAAAAAGAACGTTCCCGCATACCTCGTCCGACTTATAAGGTCTTACCTACAAGACCGTTCAATCCTGGTAGGCGAGGCGTTACTCAGAAGGAACACCACGTGCGGCGTCCCACAGGGCTCCGTCCTCGGACCAGCCCTGTGGAACGTCTTCTACGACAAACTCCTGGAAATGAATACGCCCCACGGGGTTCAACTAGTGGCGTTCGCGGACGACGTCTGCGTTCTGGGCATCTCTTGGAACGGCGAGTCTGCCACTACGCTCATCAACCCGGTTCTCGGTGCAGTCGCCGAATGGATGAACAGCAACGGGTTACAACTAGCTCCGGCCAAAACGGAGGCAATAGTGCTCACTAGGAAGCATATTTTCAACGACCCCGAGCTCATAGTTGAAGGCCACGCAGTCCCAGTCAAACGGTCCATGAGATACCTGGGCGTCGAGCTCGACACGCGCCTGCTGTTCACAAAACACGTCCACCAGGCGTCGGCCAAGGCATGCGAGTCAGCGCTCGCCATAGGGAGGCTAATACCAAACGTCGGCGGACCTTCCCAGAGGAAGAGAGCCCTCCTGGGAACGGTCGTGAACAGCAAGATGCTGTACGCAGCTGCCATTTGGGCCACGCAAGGCACCAAAACGGCAAAAAACCAAAAACAGATGGCAAGGGCACAACGCACCGTCACCATCCTCATCACGCGGGCCTACCGTACCGTCTCGGCTGACGCGTCCTCACTACTTGCGTCCATGGTGCCAGCCGATCTGCTGGCCAATGAGAGGGCCAGGATGCGGAAGCGACTAGACGACCAGGATGATATGACCTCCAAAAGTGGTATTAAGACAGAAGAACGAGCCATCAGCACCAGAGCGTGGCAGTCCAGATGGGACCGCTCTCCAAACGGCAGGTGGACGCACAGGCTACTCCCTGACGTAGGTCACTGGCTGTCGAGGCCACCACTCGGTCTAACGTACCACCTGACCCAGGCCCTGTCCGGACACGGATGTTTCAGAAAATATCTGCACGACAGAGACCGGGCCGTAGACAGCTACTGCACGTACTGTATGTCAGTGGCACCGATCGTGTTTAATATATCATCAGTCCAGCATTATCTATAATATATCCTATATTATATTTGAGTAATTGTTTTTGTGGTAAGTGAACTTGGATATTCCTCGATTTCTCATGTATTGATTTCCTTATTTTGTTCTAATTCAAAAACGAATCACTGTAGAAACATGAAAATTTCACTGAATGTTTATATTAGCATTTCCTATACACCATACAATATGAAAATATTTTGACTTGTTTTTAGCTGTTTACGGACATTTTCAGTTTCAAATTTTTTTAGTGTTTAGGGCACCTTTTTTTTAAATAGCGAATGTTAATTAAACATAAAATTAATTTTTTATATTTTAATATAAGTATTAAATTTGTATTGTGCACCTATATATTGTTGCTAATTCTAATTGTTTTTTTTAGAGCAAGTTTGCAAATATTTTGATGCTGTTTGGGGGTTTGGCTGCTGCTAGCCAATTGGTGGTAGTATGACTGAGGGTTTTCCAGTATTAAAGTGGTCACTGAAGACGAAAAAAATGAATTATTTGCAGACTACGTGCGTGTTTAATATATCATCAGTCCCAGCATTATCTATAATATATCCTATATTATATTTGAGTAATTGTTTTTGTGGTAAGTGAACTTGGATATTCCTCGATTTCTCATGTATTGATTTCCTTATTTTGTTTTAATTCAAAAACGAATCACTGTAGAAACATGAAAATTTCACTGAATGTTTATATTAGCATTTCCTATACACCATACAATATGAAAATATTTTGACTTGTTTTGTGTTGTTTACGGACCTTTTCAGTTTCAAATTTTTTTAGTGTTTAGGGCACCTTTTTTTTAAATGTCAAATGTTAATTATACATAAAAAGAATTTTTCATATTTTAATATAAGTATTAAATTTGTATTGTGCACCTATATATTGTTGCTAATTCTAATTGTTTTTTTTAGAGCAAGTTTGCAAATATTTTGATGCTGCTTGGGATGTGTGGTAGCTGCTAGCTAATTGTTGGTAGTATAACTGAGTGTTAACCAGTATTAAACTAGTCACTGAAGACGAAAAAAATGAATTGTTTGCAGACTACTTGCGTGTTTAATATATCATCAGTCCCAGCATTATCTATAATATAATATCCTATATTATATTTGAGTAATTGTTTTTGTGGTAAGTGAACTTGGATATTCCTCGATTTCTCATGTAGTGATTTCCTTATTTTGTTCTAATTCAAAAACGAATCACTGTAGATACATGAAAATTTCACTGAATGTTTATATTAGCATTTCCTATACACCATACAATATAAAAATATTTTGACTTGTTTTTAGCTGTTTACGGACATTTTCAGTTTCAGATTTTTTTAGTGATTAGGGCACCTTTTTTTTAAATAGCAAATGTTAATTAAACATAAAATGAATTTTTTATATTTTAATATAAGTATTAAATTTGTATTGTGCACCTATATATTGTTGCTAATTCTAATTGTTTTTTTTAGAGCAAGTTTGCAAATATTTTGATGCTGTTTGGGGGTTTGGCTGCTGCTAGCCAATTGGTGGTAGTATGACTGAGGGTTTTCCAGTATTAAAGTGGTCACTGAAGACGAAAAAAATGAATTATTTGCAGACTACGTGCGTGTTTAATATATCATCAGTCCCAGCATTATCTATAATATATCCTATATTATATTTGAGTAATTGTTTTTGTGGTAAGTGAACTTGGATATTCCTCGATTTCTCATGTATTGATTTCCTTATTTTGTTTTAATTCAAAAACGAATCACTGTAGAAACATGAAAATTTCACTGAATGTTTATATTAGCATTTCCTATACACCATACAATATGAAAATATTTTGACTTGTTTTGTGTTGTTTACGGACCTTTTCAGTTTCAAATTTTTTTAGTGTTTAGGGCACCTTTTTTTTAAATGTCAAATGTTAATTATACATAAAAAGAATTTTTCATATTTTAATATAAGTATTAAATTTGTATTGTGCACCTATATATTGTTGCTAATTCTAATTGTTTTTTTTAGAGCAAGTTTGCAAATATTTTGATGCTGCTTGGGATGTGTGGTAGCTGCTAGCTAATTGTTGGTAGTATAACTGAGTGTTAACCAGTATTAAACTAGTCACTGAAGACGAAAAAAATGAATTGTTTGCAGACTACTTGCGTGTTTAATATATCATCAGTCCCAGCATTATCTATAATATAATATCCTATATTATATTTGAGTAATTGTTTTTGTGGTAAGTGAACTTGGATATTCCTCGATTTCTCATGTAGTGATTTCCTTATTTTGTTCTAATTCAAAAACGAATCACTGTAGATACATGAAAATTTCACTGAATGTTTATATTAGCATTTCCTATACACCATACAATATAAAAATATTTTGACTTGTTTTTAGCTGTTTACGGACATTTTCAGTTTCAGATTTTTTTAGTGATTAGGGCACCTTTTTTTTAAATAGCAAATGTTAATTAAACATAAAATGAATTTTTTATATTTTAATATAAGTATTAAATTTGTATTGTGCACCTATATATTGTTGCTAATTCTAATTGTTTTTTTTAGAGCAAGTTTGCAAATATTTTGATGCTGTTTGGGGGTTTGGCTGCTGCTAGCCAATTGGTGGTAGTATGACTGAGGGTTTTCCAGTATTAAAGTGGTCACTGAAGACGAAAAAAATGAATTATTTGCAGACTACGTGCGTGTTTAATATATCATCAGTCCCAGCATTATCTATAATATATCCTATATTATATTTGAGTAATTGTTTTTGTGGTAAGTGAACTTGGATATTCCTCGATTTCTCATGTATTGATTTCCTTATTTTGTTTTAATTCAAAAACGAATCACTGTAGAAACATGAAAATTTCACTGAATGTTTATATTAGCATTTCCTATACACCATACAATATGAAAATATTTTGACTTGTTTTGTGTTGTTTACGGACCTTTTCAGTTTCAAATTTTTTTAGTGTTTAGGGCACCTTTTTTTTAAATGTCAAATGTTAATTATACATAAAAAGAATTTTTCATATTTTAATATAAGTATTAAATTTGTATTGTGCACCTATATATTGTTGCTAATTCTAATTGTTTTTTTTAGAGCAAGTTTGCAAATATTTTGATGCTGCTTGGGATGTGTGGTAGCTGCTAGCTAATTGTTGGTAGTATAACTGAGTGTTAACCAGTATTAAACTAGTCACTGAAGACGAAAAAAATGAATTGTTTGCAGACTACTTGCGTGTTTAATATATCATCAGTCCCAGCATTATCTATAATATAATATCCTATATTATATTTGAGTAATTGTTTTTGTGGTAAGTGAACTTGGATATTCCTCGATTTCTCATGTAGTGATTTCCTTATTTTGTTCTAATTCAAAAACGAATCACTGTAGATACATGAAAATTTCACTGAATGTTTATATTAGCATTTCCTATACACCATACAATATAAAAATATTTTGACTTGTTTTTAGCTGTTTACGGACATTTTCAGTTTCAGATTTTTTTAGTGATTAGGGCACCTTTTTTTTAAATAGCAAATGTTAATTAAACATAAAATGAATTTTTTATATTTTAATATAAGTATTAAATTTGTATTGTGCACCTATATATTGTTGCTAATTCTAATTGTTTTTTTTAGAGCAAGTTTGCAAATATTTTAATGCTGCTTGGGATGTGTGGTAACTGCTAGCTAATTGTTGGTAGTATAACTGAGTGTTAACCGGTATTAAAGTGGTCCCTGAAGACGAAAAAAATGAATTATTTGCAGACTACGTGCGTGTTTAATATATCAGCTGACCAGCATTATCTATAATACATCCTAAATTATAGTCGAGTTATTGTTTCGTGTGGTAAGTGAACTTGGATATTCACTCGATT